AAGCGGGCACAAATGGGATTCGCGTTTGGCCGGTGCAAACGCGTGCCGTACATAGTACATACAATAGACCTTATATACACAGTAGAATAGGGGTAGATAAGGGCGCGGGTATCCGTCGGGGGGCGGGACCTGTGGCGCTCGTTCCGCGAGCTCGCCATCTTGACGCCAGGATTCCAACACATCCCCTCGAGCGAGCGCGGGCAACGAGCGAAGGGTAACAAACAAATTGAACGGGGCGGGGATAAGGGAAACAGCGAGCAAGGAAGGAGGGGTTGTGTCCGCACAAATAAGGGATAACGTACGATAAGTCTAATACATCCCCTTAATCGGGGCGTTTACCACGCTTCCGTCTCCTTCTCGGCAAGAAGCCGATCGGCGCTAACGGTTGCCGAAAACGCGTAATGGGCCTCTTCAGTCTTAAGCTCGGGGCAGTCGCGCTGATAGTGGCCCTTCTTCGAGCACTTGAAGCAGGTGATGCGCTCGAGCGGGGTGCGAGGCTTCGTGTAAGCAGCAAGGGCGACTTCGGAGTCATGATGAGGCGGGTTGAGGGACAATTGGCGCGACTCTTCGTTAAGTAAGCGGGTGATGACATAATCGATGGTAAGCTCGCTAGGTGGGGTAGAGTCGAGATTGACGACCAGCTGAGAGTACGAATCGGGGAGGCCATTCGTGAGAACGAGGATGCGGTCTTCATCGGAGATAGAGGCGTCAATCTCCTCGAGGCGGAAGGCGGCCCGGCGGACGTCAGCGATCCACGATGTCATCGTTTGTTCGGGGCGCTTCGTTAGGCGCCAGAAAGCGCGCCGGTGCGCGACCCGGGTACCAAAGCCGCGGGCACGGTGGACGCGACGGAGCTCAGTCCAGACTTCGTGAATGTCTTGTGATTGGATGTGGGCGTACTGGGTGGGCTCAATATTCAAGATAATCTCGGCGCGCGCTTCTGCGATCTTCGCACGCCAGGCACGCACAGCCTTCGTGTTATCAGAGCCGGAGGGGCGGGTTTCATCAGCAGGGGCGCTCGTAACCTCCCAGAGACCCTTGCGAACAAGGAGGGCCTCCATGCCGATAACCCATTCGGCGTAGTTGTCGTCGGCGAGCTTTGCAATTGTGGGCGGTGCCATCGGGGCGGGAGCAGCGGGGAGCGCGGGGCGGTCACGGTTACGGGGTCGTCGGGGTGCACGGGGTCGTCGTCGGGTCGGTCGTTGTCGTCGGGTCGGTCGTCGTCATGGGTCGTCGGTTCGCGGGATCGTCGAGTGGCTTCGGCCCCACTAGGCAGTGCCTCGAATTATCCTTCGGGCAGAGGAGACGCGTT